ACCGGCCGCAAGGCCCTTGTAAAGGCCCCTCCAGAAGAGGCAAAGAACGAAGGACACATCAACACCACGTCTTGGACCCAGGGTTCCGCTTTTCGACTACCCCAAGATGGGCTTAAACCCAGAGGTGCTCCTTCCGGGGGGGGAATGATTTAGTCTACCTGGTGAAACAGGTGAAGCCCCGGCCGGCCACCGGTGGCCTTTTGGACAGGAGGCCCCTGGACCTAGGTGAAGGCCTTCGAGGCCAAGTTCCGGGACGAGCGCGTGGCCGGCATGCTGAAGGTTCGCGCCAAGACCCTCATCGAGTACAAGCAGGCGGCGGCGGCACGGCGGCCGATTCGGGGTGAGTCACAGCTGTAATGTTCGGGCGACACGAAATGCGTCTACCACTGGTTCAATGGGACTTATATCACTTATATCATACTGGGTGAATACCATTGTCGGGTAGGTGCGCCACCCATTTTAGTCGATTTTGGTGGGGATTGGGATGTTCACTTGGGGTACGGGATTTTAACCCATGGCCATATATATATATATATATCCTTAAGGGAGTTTTGTGAGTATGCGACCTGAAGGTCCCTTGCTTGGATTCCCTAGTTCTTGTTGGTTATTTTCAGTGATTAGCTCCTTCGCAAAACTCCAAGTTGGAGTTCCCTTGCGAATCCAGCTCTCTCTCTCTCTCTCTCTCTCTCTCTCTCTCTCTCTCTCTCTCCCTAAGTCTACTACCCTTTTCCAAGGACCTAAGGAAGCAGCCCAACATTGAGTGATGTTTATGGGGCAAAACACCATGCCCTTTGGCTGGACCAAGGAGACTGGAGCCACAAGAGGTACTTTTCGGGAGCCTGGGGCGGGGTTCCGTCATTTCTGGTCAAACCTGCCACTTCGATGGTTGGCCCCCTTGCCTGCGCCCTGGTTGCGTGCCCCCAAGCAGCCGCACACACTAAAGCCAGCTTCTGTGCAACTATTGCTAGTCTGGGGACGGGGCGGCCCACCCGAACGAATTGCCACCAAAGCCCGAGCGTGTTTCCCATGCCCCAGCCAGGCATCAGGATTCCCATCATGGACTGACCAGTTGTATGTGCAACCAACTTAGTAAGAAGGAGATACACACCATGATCGTGCCCCCTCAAAGCCACTCTTTGGGAGTTTTGGGGCCCATTGTTTTTTCCACCAGGCCGCAGACTTTTTCACGGCGAAGCGGCCGCTGCAGGTGTCGCCGGCCGCGGCTCCTTGGAGTGTATGGGAACGGGAGGGCGGGCCCTGAGTGAAGAAGCCCGTTCCACATTTGGAGTACCTCCACCAAATCCCTGCCCGCATGTGCCAAACACTACGCAAGTTTCGCAGCCACAGGCCGGCACAGGTTTCGGCAGCTCCTGCGTCCAATCAGCACCCTCCGGATTAAGACCATGTCCGCGCGCGCGATCGAGGCCAAGGATCTCACTCCTGCAGCCAACGAGCACCTGCAGACGCTGGTGGAGGAATTGGGGAGCCACGGCCTGGGAAAGGAAATGGACCTGGAGGGCTGCCCAAGGGCAGGCCTTTTTTTTTTTTGGGGGGGGGGATTCATAAGCCTTTTTTTCTTTTTTTTCTTTTTTTTTTTTTTTTTTCTTGGGGTTGGATTCTTTTCTGAAGCGCAGGTAGTATCCCAGCAGAAACCCCAGCACCCTTCCGGAAGCCTGCTGAAAGCTCCAAGCAACCCTTTCCAAATGTTTGTTTCCTTCAGGGAACAATGACGATGAACATCAAGGGCCGCGGGGTCCCGAATTGGATCCCTTTCTTCGTCAGTTTTGTGAGCAACCCTTGAGTATCGGGGATGAAAGGAGGACTTTTCGAAGGAACTATCCATCTACCAATTGGGGGGATTCACGGAAAGGGTACCTTTCGTGGAACAGCGGTCTTTTTGTGAAGGAAGGGCCAGCATGAGCCCGCGACGGGAGGCCTAGATGTACCTGCAGCCCAACCATGTGCCCCTGCAGTTGGTTTTTGCACAGGCGCAAGTGAAACTTGGTCACATACAGGGTACATAACAATAGCTAAATGTATAGTCGGGGGAAACCAGCTGTGCCCAAGGAATTTGTGGATTGGGTTTCCCTCTGTTTTCCCTGGAGTTGGTTCAATACTATTGGGCGTTCACAGCAATTCCAGTCGCGGAGCCGTCTTTCGGTCGCCGTGTTGGGGCCGATGGAATGGATAGTGGTCAAGCACCCTTTCGGTGCCGAAGTCTCGGCTCACGGGCCTCAGGAATTTGGACAAGAGGCTTGGGTGGTGCTGGGCCTCTGAGGAACAGCGGAGAATGGAGCCCAGAAGCTTTGGAGACGCACATCAAAGGCGGGTTTGGTGCGGGGGGTGGGTGGGGGTGGGGCTGGTGCGATTGGGTGTTGGACCGATTGGGTTAAATCGTGGTTGGTGACAGCGCCCCTGACCCTTGAAGGTCAAGGAAGTGCAAGTGGACGACATGAGAAGGATGCAGAAATGGACAACCCTCGATTGTATCCCTGCAAAAAAGAGAACTCTCGGAACTTCACATGCTTGACATTTGAAAGCTCTGCCTCTGAATCAGAGGGCGTGTGGCAGTTAACGAAGGACATGTTTCAATTGCAGGACGCAGTGATGGTGGTTTGCCATTTAGCGCGTGAAGATTTGGAGCAGTTTCCTTTCGGCCCACCAGTTCAAAGGGGCTGCTAAGCAGCACTGCTCTCCATTGCGCCCACTTGGTTCTGCGCCGCTCTCAAGCAAAAGGGGGGAGCTGCCAGGCTTTTTCTGTCCCAAACTTTGCGCTGCCGTTTAAACTCTGCCAGGTGACTGGTTCTGGTTGAAGGTCAACCCATTCTTTGCGGGAGAGCTATGAGCCTTAAGGCAAGTCAGACGAGAGGCTCAGCGCCAGGTGTGGTGGCCGCGCGTGGCCTGAAGCTGGGGACCTTCGCGAAGCCCGTGAGGGCTGCGCCCGAAGCCCCAGAAGTCCTCGGTTCGTTGGTGGTGTGCCTGGAGGTGTGTGGCTGGCTGGGGGGGGGGGGGGCGATTTGGGTGCTTTGTTTGCCGCCGAGAAAAATCCGGAAACACAGGTCAGGGCCTCTTTCACATGGCCAGGAGTGTATGATCTAGAGGTTTCAGCATGCTGAAAGATGCGCCAGTGCAATCTCGGCAAGATGGGCTTGTCTCCGACTGGCGAACCCCAAGATAGTTGCCGTCCATGTTGTTTTCTCTTTAAAAACAGCCTAGGACAAGAGCACACCCAAATGCGAAGCGGCTAAACCAATCTTGGCCACGGCCCAGCAAACCATAGCTTCGCCCTCTGAGCTATCCATACACCTCACTCCGGCAGTCGCCTGCCTCCAAACATTCTTGGCTCTCGGTCACCTGTCATCGCCTACAGAGATCAATTCCCCCAAGCAAGTAAAGCAAGAAGCCGAGCGTGAGATCGCGCAACTTGCCATGAGCGTGTGAAGCAACTGCAATGGAGAACACACCCATTCCTCATTGAAATCCTGGCTGTTCCATGAGCTTCCACAAGTTTTTTTTTGTTTTTTAACCTCAAATCGCAGAAGTTCGCTCACTAACTGGCAACAAGCCAGCTGTTCGAAGGGTTCAGTTTGACTTTTCGCCTATTCCAGCGAGGCTTACACTTATCAGTGACCTAGTCCACGCCTGGCTTTGACAAACGGATCAACAGGTGGTTCCCAAGAATCGGGGATGGGAATTTAACTTCCCGGGAACATGAGAAAATGTTCATTGAGCTTCCGCTGAACGAAGTACCCAAGGGAGGGCCCAGTGGAGTTGGGAGGGCCCCTCCCTCCCTGCCACCCCACGTCAGAGCTGGGCGAGGCTGACGGGGTCCACGGCCTCGCCGGGGCTCTTCGAGGTGATTTGGGCCGTGGGCAAGGAGGAGGTCCTGGCCCGGCTGAGGCGCCAAACGCCCCGTTTTGGCATTTCCGGATCGCGGGTCTCCAAAAGTGGCAGCTCAAAGTCCATGTGTGCATGGTCACCATGGTCGCCATGGTCGCCATGGTCGCCATGGTCTCACCACGCTTTTGAGATTTTGCTCCCTTAAACTACTGCCGCCAGGGCTGCCATTGCGGGGGACTACCAGGCGGGACTTGAGACATCACGGGAATGTCTTGGGACGCAGCGCATAGCCAAAGGCCGCCTCAGGCTGTGGGTTGGGCTTTCGTGGGTTGGGCCAAAACGAGCGCAAGTGGTGCATCGCAGAACATGCCGAGAAGGAGGGGGGGTCCTGCGTGAGGCTTGTGGGATCCTAAGCTTGGCCTTTCACTGAAGCCCCCGGCACTTGCGCTCCCATTCTACATGTGGATGAAGCATTCGTCGCGTAGGTGGCCTGAGCTGTGAGCCCCGTGGCCCATAGGCCTATTCTGGACCCTCTTGGCCCTCTGGGTCTCTCTGTACAAAGATAGATGCGGGCGCTGGCTTTGGCTCCATCCTTTCCGCATTAGAAAAAGGGGGCGGGCAGCCGGGCGCAATGCAAGGTGTGGCTCCCGCCACATCTGTGGACTGTGTTGCGTCGCTGCTTGGTAGTCTCAGTAATACATTGCATCAGTTTTGGAAGGATGGTTGGATGGAAGGTGAAGGGATTTGAGTTCTGCTCCGTTCTGCTCCACTGGTCTAAGCTTGCTACACAGACCAGTGCCGTGGTTCCCGAACTGTTGCCCTGTTTCAATGCTGCTTTGCAGGGGAATTCTCCTGGACAGACACGAGCAGAGGAACCTGAGACATGCACAGACAACCACGCCAAGCCAACTGCAACACGGGGAGGAGTTCTGACGTTACGAACCAAGAGGAACATGCCGCTCAAAACGGCCCGAGACATCGAACCTGATCGTCCATTGGCCAGAGGTCCCTATGTTTTTGCTTGAAGCAAGCTTAACTATCATTTTCTGGAGCAATCGTAGCAGAGTTTTCTCTTGACGGGGTAATGCTTGCGGGCCGAATATGGGAAGCTCTGTTGGCTTGACCGTCAGGACCTCTTAGAAACTCTCGCTCGGCATAAGGCCGGCATCTCCTCCGACATCTCGCAGCCTGGCGCGTTTGTGCGCGTTTTCTTTGTTCTTCAGGCCACTCAAAGGATTGGGCTGACTTTGTCATAGCCCGGCGCGTTCGCATACGGCACGTGGGCGTGTCTTTTCAAAATGGAGGTTCAACCAAAAGGCGGTCCCCTAAAAAAAGACACACCCACGTGTACCTGTCTTTGCATGAGGTACTACCTGAACTCCCACCACGTTGACTTCCATGCGCGGGCCACTGTGAGACGGCCTGTAGCAGTTAGTGAGGAGATCATGCGAGGCCATCAGCAGCATGCAAGCGTCCAGCAGCGCCATTGGTTCGGTCGTAGGGTGTGGGGCATGCGGTCTTTTAGAGATTTGGCTCTTACGATATATATATATATATATATATACACACACACACACACTTTTGTCTGATTGTGAAACTTCAAGTGATGTTTACCTGGATGCCCAGTTTCAGTTTTGCCAGTTGCTAAACAAGGGCTAGACACAGTCGATTCAGGGTTTTTGGGCAATATCCTTGGCATCTTGTAAATGTTGCTGTCGTCGTTGTTTCTGGTCATGTAAACTATTTGCATAGTGGCACAAACCGCGTACTCATTTGTGAGCGCCCTGAAAATGGCAGTCATCTGACTAAGGATTTGAGTGGGCGTTTGCTGCGGTAGGCATTAGCTCATCTTCGCTCAGAGAGTGATTGTGAATCAACAAATGTTATGGAACCAGTGCATCCATAGCATTGGCGATCACCAGACAGCACAGACCCACATGCATGTCCGGACTCGTGGACCTGCAAGACAAAGGCCGTTGGGGGCCCTTTGGGTATGGTGGGAGCTGCTGGTTCTTGTTTTGGGGTCCCCTTCAAGCCCATGAGCGTGCATCTATTGATGAATTTGGCGCCTGAATGCCCGCAGGGGCAGGTTTGCTCTGGAGTATGGGAGATGGTTACCCACGCACTTTTTTCTATATACACCAATGCATCCAGTAGCCTGCGGCCAGTTTGAGAGGGCCATGGAAGTTCACCACACAAGGGGACAGACCCTGTCACCGTCGCTGGTCGCTGTGACTGAGGTCTGGGCGATGCAAGGCATTGCCAAGCCCACAAGCGTTTATGCTACAGCGCTCGGTTGCCCAGTTCGTTCTGTTTCAGTCCAAAGACAGCCGCCTGGTGAGCGGAAATCCACATGTCTCAGCCCTGGGCGAGGAATTTGCGCTGGTTTTTGTTTGCCCCAGTATCCCCAAATCTTGATGGTTGCCTCTACAGGTCTAGTCAAGAACCCGCCAAAAGGGATGCCCCATCAAAAAGACACTCATATGAGTGCTGGTTCATGATATTGGAGAAAGTTAGTCACGGCTAATCAGTGGGTGGTTACTCACCATGCTGTTTCGTGTATCTGTTGTTGACACAATCGAGCTGTCAACACATTGATTTGTCTCGAAAAAGGGGCGATCCTCAAAAAAGATCGTTGGCTTTGGTCTCCCTTAGCAGATCTGTAGGCCCGAAACACCCCTTAAGATTATCCAAACCGAAACAACTAACCCAGCATCACAATCAATACAACAACCATTTCATAGTAATTACAATGCACCACGACCTGACATTTTTAGGATCAAACCCTGAACTCGTGTACCCTGAAAGAAGCAAACCGCCGGAGGATCGCTCTCATGCACCGAGCTCAACTTCCCGGTGCCAACCAGGTGACTTTCTAAGTGAATGTAGTTTAATCGAACGAGTCTTGCTTAGCGACATTCAAGGATCTCAAGCTCCACCCAAATCTGAGTCTCATGACTTCCACTTTTGACATCAATGTCGGTCTCCAGACCATTTGGCTGTGGGTCAAAATTAAGCCACCAGGATATGGACCGCAGGTTTTTCCGTCTTTGGTTCTATTTTCCACGGCAACCCATTTTGGGGTCACCCTATTTTTGACCACCACAGCTACCAGGACATAGGAACAAATCGGCCAAAATCTTCCCATGTACCAGGCTTCCATTGGGGTGTCACCCCATTTTTGGACCCACCCACCGCCCTTTGGCTCCGACCAAAAAGCCCCCGGCGAGCGCCTCGGATGCATCTCTCGCTCATCCTTCAGGTCCACGGGCACGGCCGAGAAGATCCTGGGCCGGGCGTGCGAGGAGACTTTTTGGTCGTCTCCTCCTGCCAGGGGTCCCGTTTTGGGGTTAGCTTTTTTTTTTTCAACCCCCACACGCGCAAAATTGGTGGTTTTTTTTTGGGGTGCCCTAAACCCCGAAAAAATGGGTGTTTTTTGAAAGTGCCGTTGTTCTGTCGGTGTATCTAAAAAAGCAAGACCACCCTTTGGAACGGTCTGCCATGGGCGCACTCCCACTTCGCGGGCAGGATACCATCACCCTCACCGTGACCTGGAAGAACAACAGCGGGTGGTGTTCTCAGAATGCCGGTCGAGGACAAAACCGTCCCAGAGTCAGACAGATAGGAAAAGGGCTGCCTCCCTGGCTAAAAGTCTGGAGCAGGAATACGGTCGTGTCTCATGAATAGGGGAACAAAATGGGCTTCGGGCTTCGGCTTTCTTTAAACAAAGTGTCAACATAGACGCGCCGACTTCCAGGCTTCTGAGCGAGTTGCCTTGCGCCGTGCACACGCGCAAGGTCCACCGGTCACGCCTTGTACACTTCCTCTTGGACTGCCAGCAAGGTGCGCGATGTGCGTTCCCAGTCCTTGTCCAGTAGCTTCCCTATTTTGGGCACATAGGGGAGTGGTCAAATCTATGGCCCTTGCTTGGACCTTGGTGCCGCCTTGTGCCGCCTTTTCAAGGGGATTCCAACAAGTGCCCGTAATTTTGACAACCCCCAGTAAGATCCTTGTGGGCGATTGACCTCTGTTTGTTTTCCCATTCAAAGAGTCCCAAAATCAGTATCGTCACAAAGAGATACACCCTTCTTAATTTTTTCCCAGAGGTTCCAGTGGTGGAGTTCATGAGACTCCATTTGCACCTGAGTTTGCAGCAAGTCCCCGACTTTTGGGTTGTTCCATTCTGATTCCAGCTGGCCTCCTCCAGTCTTCCTCAATGCTCGAGAAGGCATCAGGCCAGGCTCAAGGAGGAACCCCTGGCAGCAGTTTTTCGGTCAGTAAATCTGAAGTTGGAAGTTGCTTGAGCCCCGTTCAGTTGGAATTCATATCCACATGGGCAAAGGTGACTCCGTTCGGGTATGTCTTGGCGGAAGATAAAAGGGGAGAGAGTTTCCGAATCTGACAAGACAGACACTTGCATAAGATCTTCCACCCCTCATCACTGCAGCCACTCATTGATTGCCTTGCACCTGAAAGACACCCAGGACATGGCGAGATGGTTGTTGCCCTGAGGCGTTACAATGGATCGACAGACTTTCCTGAGCTAGGATGCATTTTACATTTCACTGACAAAAGCTGGAGCAAAGAATCGAATTGTGCGCCTCACTCCAAAGAGTTCCCTTTCTCGGTGATCACCCCATCCCTTGATTATTGCCAGTAAAATTTCAGATGATTTTGACGGGTCTGACTGACATGGTGCCTCGGTCTGCCAGTCGGACGTGCACTCGCAGCAGCGGTTCTTCTGCCAAATGGAAACGGCGGAGGTCACTGTGGACCAGGCGCCGTTTGTGGCCTAGGTCACGATGTGGTGGTGGTGGTGGTGGTGGTGGTGGTGGTGGTGGTGGTGGTGCTGGTGGTGGCGGAGGTGGTGGTAGTGGTCGCGGTTGTGGTGGAGGTGGTGGTCGGTGTTGTTGTTGTGGTGTCGTGGTGTCGTGGTGTCGTGGTGTGGTGGTGTCGTGGTGTCGTGGTGTCGTGGTCGTCATGGTCGTCATGGTCGTCGTGGTCTTCGTGCTCGCTGTGGGGCGTCGTTCGTGGTGGTCGTGGTTGTCTTGGTCGTCGTGGTCGTCGTGGTGGTCGTGGCCGTCATAGATTGTCGTGATCGTCCTGATCGACGTAGTGTTTGTGGTGGTTGTGGTCATCGTGGTCGTGGTCGTGGTCTCGCTTTGTCTTGTGCTTTTTTTCTTTTTTCTTTTTTTTTTTTCTGGTTGCTTGTTTGTTTGATTGTTTGTTGGTTTTGTTTGGTTTGTTTTTGTGTATGTTTATTTGTCTGTCTTTTTGTCTTTCTGTCTTTCTGTCTTTTTGTCTTTCTGTCTTTCTGTCTTTCTGTCTTTCTGTCTTTCTGTCTTTCTGTCTGTCTGTCTGTCTGTCTGTCTGTCTGTCTGTCTGTCTGTCTTTGCTTTTTCACTTCTATCTTTTTTGTTTGTTTGTTTGTTGATTTAATTGTTCATTTGTTTGTCATTTTGCTCGTTTCATCGTTTTGTCTCATCAGTGCATGCCACGTGCCGCCGCTGGTGCTGGTGCTGCTACCGCTGCTAGCCTTGCTGCCACTGCTGCTTCCCGACCGGACGACATCAAGCGTGCTGCGCCCGCTACAAGCCACTGACTCCAGAAGCGCAGGCTCATCGAGGATACTACGTCGCCGAGGATGGCGTTGGGCGCGGGCACCGAGCCTCAAGGCACCAACCCCACGTTGCGCTGCCAAACTGGTGCCAGCACACACCGATTTCGTCGGGTTGCACAAGGGCAGCCCTGCTTCCTTCACGTGAGAGAGAAGCCTCGCGACAAGTTGCTTTCATGCCGAGGTTTAATTCCTGCAATCCGCTCTTCATCCGCAACAAGCCGGACTGGGCTACGATGCGAGTTGACGGTCTCTTCTTGCCTTTGTAGCGGTAATCTAATTTAGTCTCACTTGATTGGCATTGATTGCGGACTCTGCATGCAGTGCTGCAACGCTGACTGACTCATTGCCCTTGAAATCTGCCCTGAAGATGCATGGCTTGCTTACGCTTGTCGGGGCACTCTCCTTGCATTGCATGGGCAAGCGCGAAGGCAGGTTGGCAGATAGTGGACACGTCAGGACTCCTTGGGCAGATACGTGGGTCAGAGCTGCTACGGGCCCTCCTGGCTTTATTTACCAGAGACCCAGCGACAGGCCCCTCTGCACTTGCATGTGTGTCTAACCAGATGCATGCCATTGTCTAAACTGGAGCGCGTGGTGTAGCGATGCCATTCATGTAGTTCTGCTCACGCGGCAGAAACACGCAAGGTGTTAGGCGACAGAATTGAGTGAATTCAGGCGGCAGTAGCTCCGGCTCAAAGCAAGGTGCAACCTGGAAGTGCCTGAGTAGGCACTCTGACAGAGACAGACATAGCCACAGGCACTCTGACAGAGGCAGACATAGCCACATGGGGATACGTTCCTCCACCCCCAAACACACTTTTCCTTTTGGTTTCCCCTGAAAACTAGGCAACCGTATTTTTGTTTGAGGTAGACCGGTGTGCTTAGCATGAGCCTCAGTAGCACTTCAAGCCTGGAGTTGGTGGTGGCCTGCGCTGCTAGCACGCCGCGGGGGAAGAATCAGAGCGTTGGAAAGGGCACCTCGAGCCATGCGTGTTGAATCGACAAGGCCGCTGGCCATTCTTGGCATTGGGAGAATGAAATCGGACCTGGGGACGTTTTTGTTGTTGTTACACTTGTTTTCTCATTTAACGGGCGGACCTGGGACATCCTTAGAAAAAAGAAAGAGTTCCTTCTTCTCATTTAACGGGCCAGGTACGTGTCCTTCGAGCGCTTCGTGGACGCGGCCGCGGCCATCACCCAGGCGCCGCGCGACGGGCCGGCGACTTCGCGTTCGGCTGCAGCTTTTTGGGGGGAGGAGTCTGCTGGAGAAGAGGTCCTTGCGCAAGGAAGGGCTGGTTCTGAGGCCAAGCTGGCCGTTTGTCAGTTCATGGTTCAGTGAGAACACCCTTCCCCGGTTCGGCAAAAGAGGGGGACTGCCCAAATAGACCAGGCGGCTGCAACATGGAGACAACTTTGGCGCCAAAAAAGATCTGGTGGCATAGGCCTCATGTGTAGCCATCCCTCAGTTCTTTGGCATGCCGGAATAGCATCCTCGCAGCTTTGTCGTGTTGGACTTAATATCAAGATGGGCACTTTGCGAGGATCCATATTTAGTGTCCTAAGCTGAGCCTGCGAGCTGGACCCTGAAGATTTCGCGCTGTTGGTTCAGCAGCAAGCATGGTGTGGACTTCGTGCACTTAGACGCTTTTGTCGGTAGCTTGCCTGACTGCCATCCCAGGCCCAGGTTCGGGTTGTCACACGTCGATTTTTATTTCCCCTTGAGCGTTTTAGCGGTACAGACCGCAGTTTCGACGTTTCTTGGACGGGGTGAGCCGATCCCCAAATGAGCCAAAATCAAAACCCGGGTAGACGAAAGTTAGTAAGGGACAATCCCAACCACAAATAGCTGCGGGCGCCTTCTTAATTCTTTGCATGGTTCTGGGTAGACCATTTTACTACCGGGTTTTGATTATGACTCCAATTGCCCCAGCTCGCTCAGGGCAAGGCGAAGCCGGAGGACTTCGACACGGAGCTGCCGACGGGGTTCTCCACAGTGCAGGCCTATGGCAAAATGGATTGGCAGGGTCAAAACCAATTGGATCCCATTTTGGTTGGTAGGTGCACCACCCATTTTAGAACCTATTTTAGATTGGGATGTTCACTGGGGGTACGGGATTTTGACCCATGGCCAAATGGATTGGAAGTCCATCAAGCCAAGCTTTCCGAGAGAGCGTGCTTTTGATTCTCCCTTCCGATGCAACGCCGGTGTTTGTAAATTCTTTCTTTTTTTCGAGCCAAGACATTTGTTGAGTTGAGGGACAGCTGAAACAGGGCCAGATGGAGAGCATTCCGATAAAAATGCGACGATCCTTTGTTCTACGCATATTCTTCCATCGCAATGGAAATATGGTCTTTTGGAGGTGTTTAAAGGTAAGCCGACCGTCGAGCACTCATTTTGGGGCTTGGTCCCAATTTTTGGAAGCACGCCTCCCCGCGGCCGCCCTTTTTTGCTTAGACCATTTCCTCGGTTCGAAGAATTCAAACTCCACGGCTTTGCTTCGGGTGGACAGCCCAACAGCAGGTAGGACTGAACTCGGCTCGCCCTTCGGCCTGGAAGAGGGGATCCCACAGTTTTGGCATCTGATGTGCTGAGGGGACCGTCATTTTCTCTGCCGGATATATTTGTGATGCCATGGCACTAAAGTAAGGCCTTTTCGGCCTCAACAGCTTTTCGGCCAGAGGGCGGCCTATGGGCCGGAAGAAGGTGGCCAAGGATGCTCGTTTTCGGCTTTGTCTTCGTTGTGGATTTTGCAGATCTGGTTCTGTGGAGTCTCAACTGCAAGCTTCTATGATACGGGCCGTCTATGATAGGTTGCCGCGTCTCAATCTTCTGCAGGTTTGCTACTGTAGTTGCATCGATCGCCCTTTTTTCTTGTTGCCACCTGTGCTTTGTCTCCACGATTCTGCACGTTGTACTTGTGGTTGGGGGTAGGGGTTGCGCAAAAACGGAGGGAGTCACAAATTTCCAGGACCTGTCCAGCATTTTGAGCATTAACCATTGCCTCTTGGAAGTCAACCTAGACCCGCCCTCGAGATAACAGCTGGCGGGGCATCGATACGTCACGTACATCCCGCTGGATGAGTCAGGAATCCTGGACGTTGTGCACGCTAGATGGGGTTGATACCAGAATCCCCGTTAAAGTGACCAAGACATTGTGATGGGAATCCCACCTGGGTATCAGAGGCCGCATGCATTTTCCACGTTCTTGTGTCGCGGGATGCCTTAAGACGGCACAGGTGACTGCCGTCTTGGAGGCTGGGCACTTGTCCGACTAGAAGAGCCGAGACGGTTTGCAACATCAGGAAGCACCTCCATTTACCAGGGCTCCATTTCGGGTATTTGTGACCCACAGCCATTGCTTCTCACTTGGTAGTTTGAGATTGCTTGGACTATGCTGAAGAAGACGCATTGATCTTCTGCGATGATGAGGCTATTTGCGAGATTCGATGGTATTGTGTCACAGATGTATGTGCACGCATGCATGCAGCACACCACATACCTACCCACGTATGTGCGTGTATGCATACACACACACACAGAGATGCTTAATGTATAGACGACGATACTCCTGCACGCCAGCACAATGCACGCAAATACACACACACACACATGCACGGACAGAGTGATCGGACATATGGTGTGTAGCACCGTATTTGGGCACACTTTGTTCTCACTCGTTCAAGTTGCGTTTGCACGACCCTGCATGTGCGTGCTGCTACAAAAAGACACAAGTGCGCAAACAACCAAGACCTGCCCCAGAGCCAGGTCGTGGGAAGTCAACTGTGCCATCCTTCTGACAGATGACATAACCGTCTAACCTTTGGAAACCAGTTTGAAGCAGGTCTTGAATGGACGGGCACCCCTGAGACGAAATTTAGACAAGCAACACATTGCCTGGTCCTTTCTGGATGATGTCCGTGACGCATATATTGATCCCTGGGAGGGACAAGACAGGCAAGTCTCGGATTTCGTGGGGCGGAGTTGTGGCATGCGGCCCATCTCACAGCGAAGGGTGCGAACATTGTTTTGATCCCGGGGCAAGCGACCTCGTGTTTTGGTCAAGATGGAGCCCTTCAACAAAGGGATGGCGGGAAGCACGATGAATCATTCCACGGAAGCCATGACCGCGTGCTTTGACCACAAAAACAGCAATGGGTCAAAATATCCAGTCTATGGTCGATTTTGGAGGGACATTGGGGGGATATCATTAGATTTCAAGCACACAACCAGGGGGACAAACCCAACGTGTCGCATGTCCGTGCCGGGCGCTGCGCATATTTTTCGCTTTTCAGGCGGGCAGGAAGTCTTTGGACGAGGGCCGCGCCTGAGCCTCGGTGTCCAAGGACTGCTTTTCCGACCGGTTTGGAGGTTCGGAAAGCAGTCCTAGTTTAGGCCAGGTGGAGTCCGGAATTGAGACTGAGCCGGGAAAAGCGGGAGGGCGCTGTCCGGAATCGAGACCAAGCTTAACTGTCCGGTCAAGAATATGAGAGATCCAACGTGAGCAGTTTCGCCTAAAAGGAGATTCGTCTAGAAATGCGGGGTGTCCGGGTTCCATGTTGCATCGCGGAGTATTCTCCGGGAATGGCATCATGAGCTGCATGCCAAGATGCCAAGGTGGTGAAAATCCTGTACGACGACAAGGGCGAGGCTGGTGGCGGGCTTTGACTTAACCCCTGTGCTTGCAGAAATCAAGTATGGCCCCTTCGTCTCGCTTGGAAGGCAGCTGGACAAGTGTACTGAACCAAGAACTGATTGTAAGAGGGAATACCTCGCAGAGCCATTCAATCGCTTCATGTGAGCTCACTGACCACATGTTGGCCAGTCTACTGTAGGGGAACATATGGGGGACCACCCAAATCCCCACAAGTATTAATGAGCTTGCCTGGGGGGGAGAAGCTAGCCCTAGACTTGATTCATTCTGCAAAATACAACCATTGTGCAGATGGGTTTTCCGACTTTCGGAAGCAGTGCTCTCGTTTAAAACACCGCTCAGGGGCTATTGAGACTCAAAACCACTATCTAGCCACGGAAGCCTATTGCTTAGGGATGTGTCTTGGATTGTCTCTAGGGATTTGCAAACTTGAGCGCAGCAATAGTGAGCACATGCGCGCTCTTTTGTGCGGAAGTTATGGGACCTTTGCCCTGGTTTCAGGTGGGAAGCGTGACGCCTTTTCGGACATTTTGTGGCTTCCTTCATTGGACAGCTTTGGTTTTTTGTTTGGTTCGCCCCCCTGTCCAAAAAGAAAGCTTGGCGTTCCCGAGGCTTTGAACGGGGCGGATTAACGCAACTGCCTGCAAGAAAGCGCCGACTTGGCAGAAGATCAGCTGTGAAGACTTACGACCCTTGAGCATGCCGGAGGCGAGTTCCCGAATCCCCCATGCGCTTCTGATGTCCGAGGTGATACATCGTTGGGCAGGTAAAGTTCACGTCTGTGCTAGAAAAAAAAACAGCCTTTTGCTCACAAGGCAGTAATTGGCTAGGTGGACCGCCTGGATTGAGCCGGGCGCCATCGAGTAAGCTTTTTGCTTGCGTCATTGCTGAACATGACTTGGACGGTTGCACTGGCATGCGAAGGGAAAGAAGGGACGTGGGAAAGGCTATTTTGCCCCACGAAGAGCCAGGTCTTCGTGTCTCTTGTCAGATTCACAGATGTCTTTGGACAGCTTCTAAAACCACCCCGGCTGCCGGGCTTCCGCCCCGTCTCACAGCTCCAGCCCCGGCTCGAGTGCATTGCCGTTACCTGACAAGTTGGAATGCCAGACACACATTTTTGGGACGAGAAAAGTCCGCCTATTTTTCCTTGACTTCCCCTGCGTCCCTTCTATGCGTTAAGGGTTGCTGTGACAGTTTGCATTCGGGGCTTGCGAGATACGCAGGCCGGAATTTCAATCTGTGCCGAGTTGGGGGCGGGCCCGCACCCCACATATTTCGCCCTCTTGGGCCGTAGGCAGGACATTTTCGACTCGGCCGCGACGCCAGTTTCAAAAGCTGGGGCTGGTGACGAATGGACCCAGAAAGTCGAGCTGCTCCCAAGGGTCGTCATGGAAAGCACCCAATGGCGTGTCAGGAGTTCGGATACAGGAGATTCCTTCAGAATAGCCAGTCTATGGGGCACTCACTAAATATCCCGGAGAAGCTAGGGGTCCCTCTCGTTTTGCCATGCCCAAGCTAAGCTCATATTTCCTTAGACCGCGACTGTTGTGGTGCTTGGGCTTTCTACCAGTGAAGGGCTCTTCGCTCGCAGCCGCTGAGTGTTCCAGACCTAGGGGTCAAGCTCTTTGGCACCGGGGCATTTTGTTCGCAGAAATCACAAAGGGTGCCGCTGGTCGACCGAACTTTGGCCGAGCATGGCGATGCAGCCCGCAAACAAGTCTGTGCGGAAGCTCAGCAAGCGGGCGGGCGGGCGTGGTTGAGACAGGTGATGTTTACATTTTTTTGGTATTGCAGTTTGTCGGTAGAGTTGCAAGTCGGGAATTCACAGAAGTCATGCGGCCCATTTTCTAGTGGTACCCCGTTGAGGGTTCTCATTTTCTAGACCATTGCTCCTCTGGCTTTCTACTCAAGGCATTGCCTCTTCAGTAGAGCATTCCAAGAGCCCCGAGTCTGTTAAGAAATACGGTGGAAAACATGCGCCTCCCTGAGCTGAAACTCTGGTGCCTATGTTTTTCCATTCTGTAGGGGTTGGAGAACCTTCCTCTTGGCTCCTTTTTAAGATAGGAAGGAAGATTCCGGCTTCTCAGTTCCGAAGGTCCGACACATGGGTTACTTGTCAAGCTTGGTTAGCAAGAAGTCTCATTTTGTTGAAAGCACCCCTTAACGACAGGCAGGCTCATCTTTGTGGAAGTGAAGCCACTGCATCGTTTGGAACAGATATACGCCATGGCCAGCCAAACAATGCCACCTCTAGAGTCGGCAACAAAGGAACATACCCTGGCCAAGAAGGACTGACGAAGCCGCTCCACCTGGCTTTGTTGCGCTCGCAGCGCTCGAATGGACGGCTCCAGCTGCTGGATGTTCGAGCAGCCTCCACGGCAAGCGTGCCAACGAAAACAAATTGCAAAATACAGCAGTGACAGCACAAGGCAGCTCAAACCCCTGGACGGCCATGCGGCCGAGCTTGCGTGCACTGAAAGCTTTGCACGGCAGAGATAGCTTGAGTCAAACAGGCTATTAGCTACCTATTTTATAGCGAGCTAGCCCGGGGTATCACGAGCTCACCATGATACAGGTCCTTTGCTTGGGTATTCTTTTGATGTTGACCCAGGATGAATAAACCCGTCCCATTATTAGGGGGGTGTTCCCTCCAAAAGTGATGAATCCCCACTAAAAGGGGACATACTCCTATTAATCAACCAGGGGTTTATTAACCCGGGGTTAACATTAATCAGCTTTTGGAATTTTTAGTGAGTAGTTGCAGAAGCTATGCCTTGGAACCTCCCCGTCCGAGGCGCCCCTGGGCTACCAGGCCCTGTGCGGAGCCTCAGCTCCAAAGCAAGTCAGGGGGCTATGCAAGGGCGTGCCAGGAGCTCATCGTCTTTGGTCGGTTGATGAAGTTTCCAAGAAGGATCTATATATACTGTGTAGGATATGTGATTGTACAGAGACATGCTGATGGTTTTGTGTTTTTTGGTGTATGATATATGATGTTGATATGTGTATATATATATATATAAATGTGTGTCCATATATATATATATAATACATATATATATATATATATATAATTGTTGATTTACATATCTTGATTTACATGTATGTTTTTCACCGGACAGTTCCCGGGGTTTGCCCGGGCCCACGCCGACCTCACCGCCTCGGGCAGCGCAGCGGGGGGTTTTGTCCTGTCTGCAAACAAACCCCCAAATAACAAACCGCAAATCCCAACAGACAGAACCCCGATTTCGACCCCCTGAAACCATAGCCCCTAAACCGGTGGCCCTAACACCATAAGCCCTACACCTTGAGCCTAAAACCACAACCCCCGACCCTACAACCATAAACCGCGAACCGACAATAATCCTTGCAAAATTGAGCTTCATTCCAAGTTCATTTGGCCATGACACTAGCTATCTTCTCCAGTTGATTTTTGAAATGCACAAGAAACTGCGAACGATTAAAATTGAATATGGTTTGAACTGGAAAGCGTTTTCAACTGGATATCCTTCCTTTACTTGATTTTCAATAGTTGTTATTGGCGACAATTGAATCAACTTAGAGCAACATTTGTTTCAATTAGACTGAACTAGCATGTACATGGAATTATGCACAACACTTGAGTACACATGTATGCAACTGCGCAAAGACATGAAGTAGGAATGAGTTCCCTTTCCCCAAGTTGATGATTTGCTGAATTTCGCTGCCAACCAAAAATACAAACCAAGGAATAGAGCTGCTACAGGCGAGTTGAAGCTGCCAAAGCATGCTTCGAGCACTACTCTTGTGCGGAAAAGTTGCGCTTTTTGAGCTGGAGCTGCCAAAGTGCACTTTGCATACTCCCATGTGAAATTAAGTGCACTTCAAGCACGCCAATGTGACGGTCATACAACTCCTATTCAACGTTGCGCTTAACTTCTGCTTGGTTGGAATTTGCATGGAGTTGCGCGTCCAGTCAGTTAACTTTAAAGGCTCAAAGCATTTGTCATCGCCAGTCTGACCAAAAACCTCAGGGGGGGGTAGCGTTTGCACATATATGCGTATATGTGCATTATTGTACGACACATGTTATGTGACAATGTGGTATATGGCGGTTTTACATATTTTGTTCTCACATGGGTTGTCAGAGCATGCGCCCGGACGCTGGCTGCCTGCCAAGTATGCCTGGAGATAGGCATCAAAGAAGTTCGGTTGCATAGGGGACATTGAAGACTCCATGAGGGGTGCTTTGCAGGGGTGTACTTGCAGGATACCTGACAATGAGCTTTCTGACTTGGTCATTTGACGCCGCTTTGGACAACTCGGGTTAGGTTCGAGGTTTTGGTGCTTGTGCAAGCGCTGGGTGTGCTCGAGGAGGTGGAGTTTGCGATTGCTGGTACTTGTTAGTGTCCAAAACCAATTCCATTAACTCGTCCTTCTTAGCACACCATCAGTCGCTCTGAGTGTCCCTTCTCAGATCAAGTCATGTTGCAGGGGGTGCCCGTCACATGAGATATCACAACATGGGGAGCCCCACCCTTTTGCTGAAGGAGAACAAAGGCGCCCGATATTTTTTGCATGCAAATGTCAAGGGCTGAAACGCGCATGTTGAGGCTGCGATTTTCGGATAGGCGACCAACCAGGCCATGGCACGATCCCCAAATTGACGTGTTTCACAAACGGCGAGCTATTCTTACGAGGAGTTTTTTTCTCACTGCGCTTCGGCAAGCAAACCAGCGAGCGAGCGAGCCAGCAAGCAAGCAACCAAGAAAGCAAGCAAGGAAGAATGCAACCAACTCTTTGCCTAACCCCAGCCTAACCCCACCCTAGCCGACTCTAAACAGCCCTGAAACAACCCTAAACCTATCTTGCACAAGCCCCAAACCGACACTAGCCCTAAACAGACCCCTAAACCACCCCACCAACCCTAAGCCAATTGAAGCCAGCCTAAACCGCTCTAAGCCAACCCTAGCGCCGCGAAACCGACCGTAGTCCAACCCTGCACCGGCAATAAACCACCCAGAAACAACCGTAGCCGAAACCTACAGCCACCCCGAACCAACGCTAAAACACCCTAATCTAACCCTAAACCAACCGTAAAGCGGACACACAGCGACCCCAAACCAAAGCCAACCCCCGAAAACTTAACGTAAATCAACCCTGACCGGACCTTAAACCCTACAAAGCCTTAAGCCAACAATAAGCCAATCCTACAAACACCCTCAACCAACCCTAAACTGACCTTCAACCAACCCACCCTAGACCAAAACCACGGTGGGAAAACATATCCCCGTTGAAGTAGAACATCATTCCTCGGCAAGAGGCCCCCCCCCCCCCCTCCGCCGCTTGAGGTCCACTGCCATTGTCAAGTCCGGCTCGGCGCCCGCGCTGAGGCGCGGCCAATGCCTTTTCGGTTGCAATTGGCTGTGGGTGAAAAGTATGTGTCCCGGACTAAAACCTGTTGCCACAAGAGCTAGGGCTCGAGGGCCCACCCAATTTTCCGATGTCCTTTTGGCTGTGGGTCAAAAATAGGTGCCCAAAATGGAATCCTGGTAGATGGAAACACGGACTAGAACCTGCGGTCCCCTGGTGGTTTAATTTTTGACCCATACCCAATTAGCGGTGCACCAGCACTTTGATCGAGCGAGCATGTGACGAGCTCGCTGACATGCGCTTCAGCCGCCCTTGGTCCCAGTCATCTGCGTTTCCAGGGGCGCGTTTTCCAGAAGAAAACGAGGCAGAAGTTTGGTCTCCAGCCACCATGCTCGGGTGCATGCGCTGTGCAGGTCGCTGGGCAAGACCAGCCGGAGGCTTAGCACGCTTTGAGGTTCCAGGAAAGGTTCCAGGAAAGTCGATCGAAGAGGGACGCTGACGCTGGACGCTGACGCTGTTCTTTGCTGCCTTCAGGCCGTGCTCTTACTTCTTTGCAGGGCTTGTTGGCCCTCCACTTGCATTTTCAGGAGGCATCGTGGAACGTGCCTTTTCTTCGACCCCTTTCTCTAGCAGGTACTCATACATTCTCATTGCTTGCCTTTCAGGAGTGACACGCAGTGCAGTCAAAGCGGTGCCATTGCAAGAAGTGAGAGTTTTGCGTAAGGCCCGTCTTTTGGGCAGCAAAGTCAGGCACGGGACAGTGCCAAGGGTCATCACACGCGGGCAGATGAATTTCTTTCCGCCTCAAATCCGGGGAGTCTCCCCTGAAAGATGGTGTTTGAGAGAAGCCTCGTATTGGCGGCAACCGCCGTTCGCCCCCCGTAGGCTTCGGGTTTTGGTCTCCTTTTGGCTTCGCTGGTTGGAGAGCTGCAGGGGCCCGCTCCGCGTGGCCGGAAAGGGTTGACCAACTCAGGGTGCATTTGGTTTCATGGTTTTGGTCGGTATATCCTGAGACTTTGTGCTTTGTTTGTTCTGGTCATTGCTTTTGTAAAGCAACCATTAGATCTGATTTTGCTGGACAGCAGCTCTCAAATGCAGCTTCCTTGTGATTTTGTCGGCTTTTGCAGGGGCCCATTTAACTTTGCACCAGCCCGGCCACAGCACGAGTACTACGAAGCCAGGAGTTTTAGCCAATTCAGGCCAATTCAATAACCAGCTGGAAGATGCTGTATTTGTCGGGAGGGCGTCAGGGGCGTTGCCTTTTTTTAGCCAAGCTCAAAATGCTGGGCGTGCATCTGACCAGCTAAGCGTCAGCGTGTGTTGGTCCGCCAGCATTCGTTGAACATGTACTTGCTTTCTGGCTCATGTCAGGACGGATTGCTATTCATCGATTCACTACATCCAGCATTGCACCTAGCCTTCATGCCCTCAGGAGTTCATCATGTTGAGACAGCTGTTTCCACTCCCTGGGTATAAAAACACACCGATCCGTTTCGGGGCCGGCCCCATTTCAGGGAGTCCATGCGCCAGCGGACTCTTTGGAAGTTCTGGCAGGCCTTCTTCAAGAATTCTTTTGGAAGTTGCCAAGAGCGGACCCTGAAAACAGGTTGGCCCGTGCCGGTTCACGAGTTCTAGGGGCCCCCTCGTCCCACGGTCAGAACATCTTGCTCGCGGTTGGGGGACGGCCATCAGAGAACATCTCTGGAAAGGGAATGACCACCTGACTATATCCATCCCCCAGTTTGGCACTGAAACCCTGGACCAATCCCATGCCTTCTGCTTCCACTTCCCAACCTACTGAGTACACGAAACAACCAGGCTCTCTTTGACCTTGAAAATAACTCAGAACTCAGGCTGTGAAAACAGAATTGGGACCACATCCCACACACGCGTAGTTTTGACCCCACGGTGCATACCATGGCAAATCAGAGGTTCATGATGGCCTCCTGTTAGGGAACGCAAGCGGTTTTGGGGGTGCCAAAAATTAAAGACAAGGGGAAGCCAAAACGGAGACCACCTTTGCCCCAAGACGCATGAATGCGCGCTTGGCGGCCTGAGCGAATCTGTGGTTCGAGCTTGGCGATTTGCTTTCGACGGCAGGCGTTGATGTCCAGTGGCGCTTTGATGACGCTCAGCTCTGCCGCGACCTCGAGACCCAACAATCAAAAGGTCTGAGCTGGGTTGGTGTTGGGTTTGGCCTGTTGTTGCATCTCTTTGCGGAATGAGTGTTGCACTAGGCAGCACGCATGTATGGTTGACTTTGTTCTCAAAGATCAACCCAGTGAGTGGGTTCACAAAGGTGCCGGTTTCAGATGTTCACCTTTGGCATATTGCCTTTTTGTTGGTAGGTAGCATGTTGCGGGGATGGCCGCGTTTGACAGGTGCCAACCATCCAGGGGTTTACTGCTGCGCTTGCATGGCTGTTTGCCCTGGTGGCCATGGCAATTCCCTACTGCCGCTGCCTGGGAGAATCTGCTGAACGATGCCAGTGATCGTCACTTTGATATGTGGTTGACGACGAGTTGGCACAGTGCAATACCGTGTGTTGTCGATTACTTTGCTCAAAGCGAACCAGCCGGATGAGTTCCTAAGAGTTGCTTTGCCACCAGAAGAAGGCAGTTCAGTGAATTTCGGATCACAGTGTGTCAAAGTACACAGGCTACTTTTCCAGTCGTTTGCGCAAAGGGTTCCGTGCGCCAAGCAACGTTTTTAGCTGGGAGGGTATATCAATACAATTCCTCGGGTAGTTTTCGAGTGAACTGCATTGTGTGCTCATTTTATTGTAGCTGTGTGTATATTTAAAAAGACATTGTTTACCTGGGGTTGAGACTGGGGGTCATCAACTCTCGAAGGACGAGCTGGGAGTTTGTGTGCAGGAAAGTATTGCCCCTTGAAGGCACGAGGAATATATCATATATATATATATAGATATGTATATGTATCAAGTGTGGGAGTGCAACCTTGTCAGTGCGGAGTGGGACATTTGGCATGCTCCTCTCCGAACCCAAGAGGGGGCCAGGTAGAATCCCTCTAGGATGCGTCGAGTGTTTTAGGTTGAGGCATTTGTTCCAGGTTTAGTTGGAACGAGTCCAGGAAGGCCACCGATGCCACAAATGTTGAATGTCGAGTGAGCCATCCCTAAACCACAGCCCAAACCACTTGAGGCCAACCCATGGCACCTCAGCCGAAAGTCTCGTGGCACCCAGACCGATGGCAAGTTCACCGGCCGCATGGCGCGGGCAATCGACGACTCGGCGTTCGTTCGTTGCATCCCCACTCCCGACCAGAGGGCCGCGTGTTTTTTGAAGCCTAAACTGTGGTGACGTGGAGGGCTCACACGTCTGCCAAGACGGCGAACTGGTCACCAGCTGGCACCTCGTCTTTCTTTTTTGCAGGAGCGATCAGCTCAACTGCTTTGCGAAGTCTCAAGGGCGACAGTTCTGTAAAAGCAAGACCGAATAGGGAGCGCGGGCAACCCGGAGATTAGCAAGAGCAGAGCTTCGAACCTTGTCACCACGAACACCAGGTCATTTTGGCAGGGGTGCTCTGCGGAGATTTGCACGGATGCGTATTCAGGAAAGCCCACGAACATCGGCGACCGTTGCACTGTGTACGGCAGTAGGGTAACGTAGAGCACCAGGCCTTCTGGCTGAGAGCAACCCGGTTCCATTTGTTGCCCTGATATTCTGAGTTAAGGGAGTCAGGACCCACAAAGGGTTGGAATGTGTCACCCCGGCCCCATTCGTGATAAAGCGATGGGTCCAGCACAGATTATCCAGCAATCGACTCCCCTTTAAAAAACGTGCTTGTCAAAAGAGGATGCCTGTTTTGGGATCATGGTTCAGGTTTGTTTGCCGCCTTTGGCATCCAGAATTGGGTCCCAGCCATTTGCATGCATCTCGTACACGATTTGTTGATCCTCCGCTGAAAGATCCTGCAACGTCAAGAGTCAAGCCTTGAAGGATGGGAACACCGCCAAAGTGGGCCTGCTGGTCGGCGTCGACTTTTTTCGGGTCCCGGGAGACCTGCCTTCCTCCAAGGGCATTTGCCGTTCGCAGGTGGCACAAGGCTGCTGGGGTACAGGACCCAAGAAAGCCGGTCCGGGCTTCAGCCGTTCCAAGTTGCCATTGTCTTTGGATGGTTTCGGGTTGCCGACTTGAAGGCGGGGTTCGGAGGAGTCGGACTCGGTTTTTGTTGAAACACAAAGGCACAAGTGGAAAGTAACCCCGTGAAGGCTCAGGATAACCCACGTCCAAGAGCCGGATCCCAAGCCCAGGCGTGTTCAAGAAGAACCTGCCGAAGAACATCAGCGACAAGAGCAATACCTTTGAGGCGCAAGGGGGGGGATATAGGTGGGAATGGGTGGTGTCCCTTTGCATTCTCTTTGTTACACCCAAGAAAGCCTACCATGAGCCCCCAAAAGGTGATCCCCAAACCGCGCTTACCCATGAGAAACCAATTGCAATATTGTTGTCAAAGGGGCCCGTTGTCCGCGCGACGGCACATCGCCGATTCCAAAAGCTCCTGATGGCCATAGGTGACGAACCTTAGGCAGCAGCCCCTCCGCATTTGTGGGTATGACCCCGTCCATATGCCTGGTAGTGTTTCTTTTTAGATCTCCTGTTTGCCGAGAAGCAACGAACATAACAGGGATCCTCAAATAAGAAAACAGCAAATGGGTCTTTCTTCGAGGGAATCCTTTTTTGGGGTGGGGGGTTTCCTATTTCAATGGGTCGATTTGCTTTTGGTGTTCCTCGTGAAAACCACTCGAACGTGAATATCCAAAACGTGGTCTCTTGCATCGGACCACCATCGGACCATTGGGTTTGCCATAATGCAAAGCTGCCAGCTGGGGGCCGGTCCCGGATCCGTTATCGAAAAGGTAGTGCAGGGAGCAAGGCTATCAAAACGCTTCTCTTTTACAGGCACGTGAATCGCAAGCGAGCTTCCTTTGGGCTACCTTCGGGGGTTTCCCTGGAGAGAAGTAATAGCTACCCTCCATTTGACTCGAGCAATATTGCACTGGTAGTTTGCAAGCAAACCTCATGGCCCATGACGCAAGGTGAGCTCAACATTCGCAGTAGTCCATGGTTTGTTTGGGAAGGACGCGCGAGGCTCAAGCATTTTTTGTACGGAAACCAGGTGGACTCAAAAGTTTCCCATGTGCTTTGGAGCAAAAGAGATTGTGGCTCATGTGCCAACTGGTAGTCTTGTCAAGGCAGCGCATCATCCGGCGACGCAGCGCGGCGCCAAGTCTCTGACAAGCCGCAGCAACTGTTTGTTTTTTCTTTTTGTTGCATGCCGGGGGGGGGGGGGGGCGCCAAGAAGAGGCCCATTTAGATCCTGGTCATGTTTGTATCAACTTTGAATCATAACTCTCCTTGCTCTGGCATGTCAGGCGCTGCAAAAACATGTTGTTGCTAGAAGGATTGAGCGCCAGCCGAGGACGTAAACTTGGCTTATTGAGGGTATTGATGGCCTATTGAGGGCTGATGGCATAGCCGTGCCTGCAAGATTAGGCTACTGAGGGCTTCTACTGCGCTATTCAGCGCAGCTAAGGCTTGTCCAGGCCTTGAGGAGCTAATCAAAAACTTCCCTTCTGAATCTTGAGAGCGAGAGAGAGAGGATTTTCTAGTAGCAAGGATTTTCTGGTAGCATTCCTAAGGTTTGCTAAGATGCTGGAGGGAAGCTCCCCGGCCAAGCGGCCAAAGAGGGAGAGAGAGAGAGTGCTTGGTGAAGGCATCTCGAAGGCTCGGTTTCCGGAAGGTTCCGGCGCTTCTACGAGCGCAGCGACCTGCCCATCTCGGTGCACCACGGGAACTCCCCGAGCATCGACTGGAAGGCGCGGAGCGAGAGGTTCAGCCGAGAGGTTCGGTTCGGCCGGGTCAAGAGGGACAAAAGGTTGGACATCTCACTCGATTTCGGATTGAGGCGATACAAGGTTGGAAGTTGGCTTTGTGAAGTAGTCCGAGGCTAAGAGAGCCTCTCCGCCCATGGCGGGTCCGCTCGAGGGCTGACTTTTCTTGGGAGGTGCCTTCTAAGAAATCGTTTGGGCTGTTTTGCATGGATGGTTCGAACCATGCACAGTCTTTTATGCCTTGCAAAATCCTGAAGGCCATCAGAGAAGGGGGTCCCTTTGTCGGGATCCATCGCTCAAATGACTTGAACGGCAACAGCCTCGAAGGATCAAAGCCCTTAGCATCCTTGGCTGTCACACAGCGACCGAGTGACCAGAGACCAAACCGGGTGGGGTTGTCTCCACACTGTATCCAAGAAAAGGGAGCCCCAATTTTGAGATTGTGGGGTCGATAAGCCGCTGATCCGAAATCCATAGAAGATACCCACAGGAGAACGACCGGCATGGTAAACATACTGCCAGAAACCAGCATGAGGTTTGGGTTGGGATTCCAACAGTCCAACCATTTTTCTTTTTTTTAGGGTTGGGGGGAACAGATGGACATGGAAGCTCATGTGTATTTTTGGGGATTCCGTATTCCATTTAGAGACAAACCGATGTGGCTTGGGGGGGAATTTGGCAGGGCGGGGAGGCGGGAGGAGATTCCAACGTCGCATGCCTTCTGCAGCAAGCTTGTTTTGAGGAAGACCCGTGCTCGGGTTCACAACAACAATCATAAACGGAGAGGGGGCGACTCTTCCTCGAATAAAGGAAAAACTCCTGGCATTTCGAGACCAAATCCAGGTTGAGCCGGAGCGCCTGGATTACATCTACCTCCTGCCCATCTTCTTCGACGGGCTCATAGAGAAAGAGGCCCCGTCCAGGCCCCAGCAACGAACCAGCGGACCGGCTCCATCAGTGTGAGGGATTTTGTGTTGAGCGAAATGTGGCCGTTGACAGTTGTCAGATTCGTTTGGGGAATACCCCTGGCTTTTGCGGAGAACCAACTGGAAACCACCCCCTAACCACCAAACCACCACACCAAATTACCAGCTAGGGAAGCTGAAGTTGGGCGGCTTTGTCTTTTGGGAAAGTGGCTTGAAGCCGAAACTTGGAATCAGAAAACTGGCCACCCTGCTGCCTTTCTTGGGGCTCGGCGTTTTTTTTCTTCTCCGCTTTTTGCCTCTCGGCTCACATGGCCAAAGTGAGGATAGGTCGGTGTACCGAGCCTCACACAGCGCCCACCCATGCAGCCTGATGTGCCCGCTTCTCGAGGAGATCATGGTCTCAATCTGGTTCGGAGGGCAAAAATGGGGGGCGTAAGCGGGTCCACCCCCCTTTTTGGTATGGTTTTGAAAGACACCTGAACGGGAAATCCCGCGAGTTTTGAGGCTTACCCATTGCACAGCTGACCCGAGGTACAGCTTCTTGGCTTACAAGGGGCTGCAGGACAGGTGGCCAGAGCACGAGGTTCGGTCGTGGAGATTTGGGAGAGGTGAGTGAGTCTTGTGGATCCTCGGAGAAGTAGTGTGGGCAAGCAGATTTGCTTGGTTTAGTTGTAGTTTCCACACAGATCCAGAAGTTTGCCTGCATTTCCACTGCCAGTGGAAACTGCGTGCTTGTAGTTATGTTGAATTATTGAGCCAATGATGCAATGAAGCGGTCAGCAATAATGTGCTCAGGTGCACCGCAGTAGAACTCAGCGTTCAACCATGTTGACACGGCTTCTTTTCATGCACTGTGCGAGTCCTGTTGCGCATCGCTCGAGCTTTTTTTTCTTCCCCGTTTTATTCTCGTCTCCTTCTTCTCCGTCTTCCTGTTTGTTCTTCTCCGCTTTTTCATGGTTGTCCATTTGGATGACTTGCTCAGGGTGAATGGGAGAGTGAATACCGAATGAACAGATGGGCTTGGATGGAGAGATGTATGGAGACAGGCTATGCAAAGAAGTTTAATCATCTCATTGTTGACCGGGAGTGTGAAACCTGGTTCCCAGTTGTATTGCTCCCCTGATCAACAACACCCAAGTATTGAACAGGGGGATTCCACTGGGAGGGATCCCCACTATTCAGGGGTTACATGGACGTGTCTTTTGCGAGGGCCTCTTTTTTCGGTGTCGCCGATTTGGAGGCAAACGCCAAACGCTTATCTCTCTCTCTCTCGCTCTCAGGGTCCAACAGTATTTCCCATGCCGGAGACTGGACACAGAGAGGTTGGTTGAACGTAGATGGATTTCACTGGCCTGAGTAAAAACACCGGTTGAAGAACGAAACTCAGTTTCAGGTGTGTCCTTTTGGGCTAGCTTGGGAATGACAAAATAGATAAATGGATTCCACTGGTTTCTGTTTGGTTCCTTGCTTTCAGTTTTCCGTTGGTTCCAGAAACTACGGAGAACAAAGGCGCACGGAGGGTTCAATCCCTAGAAAAGCCAAGGAGAAGGTCGAGGTTGAAGCCCTTCATGACTTGATAACTCCCCGCCATCTTAGCTTTTATCTTTTAGCTTCTAGCCTTTTTTCATTTGACCCACAAAAAGTTAAACTTTTAGCAGGGGAGCTGAGGGCAGCCCAGATTAGCCGCCCTTTTTTCCCAGGCGTCGGCTGTGACGCGTCTTCGCAGCTTTGGGTCAAGACAGGGGCACACACTGTGGAGCACCCAGCGGCTCCAACCCAGCAAAAAGAGGAAACGCAAGATGAAAGACGGTCTACGGAATTGTTGAAAGACTTTGCCCCGATTTCTGCAACTTTACAAAAACAAAACAAAACAACCCTTCCGAAAGAAGACGAACAAAAGCATGGTAACGAGATCGCCTGGTCTGGCCACTTGCGAAAACCGGCCAGCGTTTTGCACAAGGTTTGCCTTCCGGCTTGAAAAGAGTATTTGCTGACCTCACGTGCCGAAGCAATGACGGCGGGCTCTCCCGAGGACTGGGGAAGGGCCAGAGGCGCTATGTTGTTGCCACATCTGGGTGCTTCTCTTTTTTGGGTGCCGTTTTTTGATGTGGTTCAAGGTAAGGGTTTATTTGCGCACACACACACACCTATGCACACGCACGAGCACACGCGGGCACACGAAAAAGCTCGCGCACGCACACGCTCGCACTCGCGCACATGCGCACTCGCACATGCATGCGCAACCGCACCCGCACCCTGCGCTGCACCCGCACTCGCACACACACACACAAACACAGAGCGAAGCGAGCGACGCTTCCAGCGTTCAGCAGACATGTTGGGCCCCAGGAGAACACTGCACGACTTGTGCTGAACGGCTTGGGACCTCGGCACAACGGAGTGAGGGGCCATGTCAACTCAGGGCATTGATCAGTGAATGTCGATGTATTCCGTGGAGCTTTTGCAAGCTTGCTGTCACATTCATGTTGGCTTGTTTGGAAGGGACAAGCTGGGTTGGCATGTGCAGGTCGCAGGTTGGTCCCTGGGCTGGGGGTAAATTTGAGCTTGCCACTGGGACACCTTGAGGCTAGGGATGATCATATTGCTGACCCTCGAACTAAGGATTCCTGACAGCCATCGATCGTCAGAGCTGTTTCAATGGAGCGCACAATGACAGCTATCCCCTGCAAAAAAAAGAAGATTGACCATGGCACAGATGGTGGTGGTCTGCTGTTCATTTAAGCCTCCCTGGCAAAAGGCGGCCTGTTTTCGCGTTGACGAGTTTAGTTCAGTATGCGATGGCGTTATGATCCACCTTGTGCAGAGGAGGTTCGTGTTTTTTTCCTTCTCAAGATATTTGGAGGCGATCTTCTGTTCATTGCATTGGTACATTTCCACATCCTGGGGTCTCAAACCTCACCCATTGGGTCGGTTGTTGCTTCAAGGTGGAATACGGACGGAACCCAGTGACCCAAGTGTCCCCACATCCTGCGGCAGAAATTCATGGTCATTTTTCACGGCAGGTAGCCTTTTGGTGGTTGACCGCTCTTTTTCTGTCGGAATCCGGGTTCAAGCTGCCCAAACAAGAAGGAAGGCGTCAAGACCAATTAAACGAAGCGGTCGAAACGAAGCGGTGGCCTAATCTTGGGATGGGTCAACAGTTCAGGAGGGAGCAGCCCAACCACCAAAAAGCACGCGGGGAGGTGTAGGGTGGAGGTGTAACCCAAAAAAGAGGACTGGGAAGCTTTTGAGGGACATGTGTGGACAAGGGCTGATGGAATGCACCTTAGACTGCATGCTCCGATGTTGCAGTCCTCGGGTGAAGCTTCAGAAGGATGTGAGCAACTGACAATCTTACTGGTCGTCTGCTGTTGGTTTGGGGAGGGAGGGGCTCATCAATGTCCAACACAAAAAGGGGGACCGTCTTGTTCGTATTTGTTCTTCTTGGGGAACAACGACTATTGTCCGTGGTTCATGTGAGTAGTGTTTCATTTTTGTTAATGAAGGAGCCAAAAGGAGAGGGGAACTGGCATGGTAGCCGTCCTCTACTACGTAGCCTCATCTGTTGTTCCGCTTGTTCCGCGTAGCCTCAGAGTAGCCCCCACGTAGCCTCAGCGTAGCCTCCAAGGCCTGTCCATCATTGTTGCTTCTGGTACTACTACTGCTTCTATTTTTACTACTGCTTCTACTACTACTACTACTACTACTACCACTACTACCACTACTACCACTACTACCACTACTACCACTACTGCC